ATTACCTAAAATTCTGCAGGTCCAAGCATAGGATCAGAAAGTTGAAATAAAAATTACATTTAAAGGTGGCAGAAATAGTTTTTTACTACTTCCAATGACACAGCTCAAAATATTCAGTTAAAGAAATAAAACAATTACGTGTTTGGAAATCATATACAGAATTCTTGGAATATATAGATATATACAGAGTTGACCAGCTAGATCTGATACATTAAAAAAATACATCAATTTAAATTTCATTTTTAAAAAATATCATAGAAATGTACTAATTACACAGTAAAAGAGTTCAGAATCGATTAAACAGCTCTACATGTTCAGCAGTAAAACTAGATTGTCTTGGGTTTTCTAATGGCAGCCCAAGAATTTGGACTGACAAAAATCTGAAGGCATTTTTCCATGCCAGGTAGTATGGCACATTGAATACATAATGTGCTTTGAGCAGTAAATCTATTGTTTTCAGGGTTGGCTGTTCTGGCAATTGTATTGAATGCCCATCACCCAGAACAAGATACTGGCTAACAATTTGGTCTCGGTCACCCATAGCCATGACATACGGTTGAATGGGGTGCCTGCACTCCTCTCTTCTTCTAGAAATTTCAAGTTCAACACCGCTTCCCACCTGAAAAGATAAGAACAAAATAAGATTCAAATAAGAAACTTTAGAAAGGCAAATGTTTTTTGAAGGTGTACTTACTGGTACCAATTGGTATATGTGGTCGAGTTCTGCCACAAGACTCATTTTTTTCTCATGTGCATATACTCTCTTGGGAAGGGGCAGAAATTTAGTCAAGATCATAAGGGCATTCAAGCAGTCTGAAAAAGTACAAAGTTCGTCAAAAGAGTGACAAATCAAAAACAATAAAAAGGTTTCAAAGCAGAAGGAATCACAATGTCATTGTTCCATGTCATAAATTGGACTGGCACAGAAGAAATACAAACTACATTGAGCTCCTGTGCATCTAAATGCAACATTATTTGCTAAAATGAAGATATAATGCTTACCATCCTTTGTTAAGTTGGACACACTGCCATATTTCTTTGGCTCAGCATAACCCAGTTTTAGAAGTTTTTCAATATATTGGTGCCCATCACGTATCAAGTTATCTCCCATGGTTGGATTCATCAGTTCAAACTCCAAGAATATCTGTAAAGCAGTATTATTATTCCTAAATAATAGACGTTTAATATTTCAATCAATCATAAATTAAAAGGTATATAATGCTACCTACCATTTCTCCTTTAAAAGCTTTCAGATATTTGAATTGTTGAAGCACAGAATCAAGGAGATATTTTTCATCCATGACATAGTTCCTACGTTCCTGAAAGGTCTGCTTGGCCAGGCTGACAATTGTCACCTTGTTTGAATCAATATGGCTGATGCATCCAAGGTATTTAGTCTATGGAGAGAAGAACCATAACAAGTATCAACAACCATTAGAAAACCCAAGTGATGAGGTTAAAATGAATTAAGGTTTAAAGACGTATACAACTTACCTCATTAGATAGTTCCGAGGGGTCAATGGCTCTCTTTAAAATTACAGGCTGCTCCTTTTTCTGAGGAGCCTTCCTTTGCCCTCCACTACGAGCCCTTGGTGTATCCTGAAGTTTCTGACGATTGGCAATATTATTTGCAAGTTTTCCTACCCCATTAGATTTACCAAAAAGCCAAGTCTACAAAATGAAAACAAAACCGATTGTAAAGAAAAGTGAAAGAATGAAAAGCACACACAAAACACAAATTCAACTCACCCAAGGTTTTTCTCCTTCTTTGGTACATCTTTGCGCAAATTTAGGGAAGGTAGCCACCAGGCTTACTGCCATAGCTTCTGGCTCTATGGTCAGAAGTGCATTTGGATCACTGGACACAAAGGGAGGGAAAAAAATCAGTATTCTTATAACAAAACAGAAAGATAATTGTAAAGAGCTTACTTACGAATGCAAAGAGTATAGGTGATCCACAAGGATATCCAGTAAAAATTTTAACATTTCTCCTGAACAGAAGCCCTCTGTTTTTAGGCTTTCAACAAGCTCATCTGTGTCTTCAACCTTTTCAACAATTTCTAAAATTTTAAACTGAAACAAAAATTGTTGACAGATTTAAATATTATCCATAATTTATACTCTTTATCTGGATACATATTTGAACAAAAGACTTACTTTAAGATGAGAGGGACACTCTAAGAAATCTCTTATAATTTTCTTTTGCACTTGAGTCTGCAAATAAAGAGTTAAGTTAGGACATGTACCATTTACAAAAATTAATAGATAAAAGGCATTATTACTAAAGGCATACTAGTGTGTT